TATATGTATATATGTTTAACAAGGACATTAATGCTTATGAAAAATATATGAATTAAAAATAAACAAATGTCTATGCACAACAAATATTGGAAATGGAAACGTTAGACGAAATGTGGAATGTGTGTGTGTGTGTGTTGGTGTTGCATATATCTGCATATATAACATATATATTAAACATGTGTATGTGTTTGTGTGTGTGTGTGTGTGTTGTCTTTCATTAGCATTTGATCCTGTGCATCCATTTACAAATGCAAAACTCCATCCTTGACATCACTGGCCATTATTGTCGATGCATTTGATGCAGCTTGTTTATGATGCATGGACGGCGACGAGGACAATTGCTGACTGTTGCTGTTGCTGCTGCTGTTCACTGTCACGCAGCTAGCACCTCCTCCTCCAGCAGCTGCTGCAGCGCCTCCTCCATTACCACCGATGGGACTCTCGTCAAGCGTAACGCCAGTTAAATCAACGATGTCATCCTGATCATCATGCTCCAGCTCATCGGATGTATTGGTGTGATTTGTATGATGTGATCCGCTCGATAGCTGACTGTTTCTTGAGAAGGAGCCGCGATGTGTTGACGTTAAGGTGCGCTGATTTGCTGGCTTCACAGTGATGATCAAATTGGAGCTATTTGCTACCATCATATCGGTTACCTAGTGTACAACAAAGAGCAGTTAAATGAATCATTTAATGGCAATCTACAATTACTGCACTTACCTGATCCAGCGTCTTGCCTGCCACCTCAATGCCATTAACTTCGATGACCTCATCGTTGACAGCGAGTAATCCAGTGCTCTCAGCCAGTCCACCAGGCACCAGACGTGATATAAAGATGCCTGGCTGCTTCTCCAATCCGTTGGCCGTAACACGCACCGAGGTGCCATCTCGTATATAGAAGCCTAACGGCTTATCGCTTCCATGCTTCAGCAGGCGGACACGTCGATGCGTCTCTGGTACAATGTCCACATCAATGATGGCCGAGACCTGACGAAAGTCGTGCGGTATGGATATGGATGGTGCTTTGGTCTTAACGGGCGTGTGGCCAAGTATGCTGCCAATCAAATTACGCGGCTTCATCGTGCCAAAGCCCGAATACTCGTTCAAATCGTCTGTGAATTAATATATATTTATATTTAAAGTTATAAAGCTGACAATATCATTAATCACGAAACGTACCTTTACGCTGAACTATGACTCGCAACAGCGGTCGCGCCGTCTTCAATGCACGCCCAAAGTTGTCGTCGTTGTTGATGGGCAGCAGATCGTTGTCGCAAGGATCAATGTAGAGTATTAGAAATTGTATGTTGGTCAATTTGTGCAGCTGCTCGATCAGTGAGGCGAACTTATCGAAGCTCTGTTCTGGCTCGTGGCGCTTGAAGCTCCAACGTCGGAACTCCGCATCGAACTGAAACAAAGTGTTATTCATTATTTGGCTAAGCAACGGATCTCGGAGACAGGGGATAATTGACCAATTTGCAAGATTAACTAGACGAAATTAATCAGCAACATTCTGGCAACGCTGCCCAACTGTTGCTGCACGCATGCACAAACAGGTAAAGGCAACTTCAATGTGATGTAAAGCAAATGGTTACATTTCTTGATGAACTTGACAAAATATCATACATCATCTGGCAATGCCGCTCAACTGTTGCTCCACTCAAAAGCAAACAACAACAACAGCTCGTTTCTGCTGTCATTTCCAGCAGGCATGAATCAGCAGTGCCGCCGCCGTCGTTTCCACTATCTTTCAGTATGACCCAAACAAATTGGTCCAAAAAAGTATTACATTTGTATCTTGTTTGCAGGAGTCCTGCTTGCTTAGCTCACCTTTGATTTCACTTCAATTAGATTCGTTTCGGCATTTGCTGCCTGCGCTGCGGTTGTGTTTATTTTATTCTTCGACATTTTTACTTTTTATATCTATTTTTTGCCCACTTCCAATTGCACACACACAATTTTTACAGCAACAACATCAACGCACAACTGATGCGGTGCGTGTTCATTCAAGTTGCCGTCGCGACGACAGCCAAACGTGTTGGTGCCCAGTTAAGTTAAAAACAAATTGTATAATAAATTATAATTTGAAAAAAATTCTAAACTAAAACTAAATTATGCGTTGGCGTTTGTGTAAAAAAAAACATCGAGACATCGCGATTTTTCTTGCAGCGATCACCAATATAGTTGTTGCATGCATGTATCGATATATTTTTAAATATAGTATATAATCGAGAGCAATTTAACCATAATTAAGTGGAATATTGTCATAGAAAATATAAAAGAATCAAAGCTGATGAATATATTAAGTATATAACGCTTTGAACATAATAATTATGAGAACAGTTTTTGAATTCGTACAAAACATCTTACTTATCGATGACTGTTATTTGAAGAAATACTAAAAAACCACCGCCCCTAGTATTTATCTGCATATGGCAGCACTAATTGCACAATCGCATTAAATGAAAATATAAATATGAATAGGAACAAATGAAGATATATTGCCATTTAAGCGTTGTACATTTTAAAAACATTTCTTTTAAATAAAATATCATTCATTAAATTAAAATAATATA